GAAATTGTTGCGCCTGCCGAATTCGTTGATTCTTCGACACCTTCTCATGTCGATATCTCTGTCCCAGTTATCGAGGAAGAAGCACATCATGATTCGTCTTCGGGGACCTCCCCATCACTCTTCGTTGACGAACCCACCATCGAGGCAGCGGAGGAGGCTCTCGAGGACTCAATCATCATTGAGGACAACGCGTCTGACTTGGCCGACTCGGAAGAGTCTGATAACGAGGAGGCCACCGCTCCGTATCTACTAGAGCCTACCGCTTCTGATGACACAGTCAATGAGGCTCTGTCAATACCTCTGGTTGTTGATGATGCGGGGAGCGATTGGTCGCAAGTTGAGGCTTAAGGTAGAATCCTTATTGTACATGTGAAGCAAATGCACTACGGACCTTCATGCAATGTATTTTTCCCTACGACGTCAATTTATATTCTAAACAATGACTTTTTTGGTTGATGCTAAGGAGTGAGTTTAGTCCAATGCCGACGGTGACGAGTCGTAATGCGCTGCAGCATCACCGTTCGGTCACGCTGGCTACGGCAGACAGTCACAATACCGTTCCCAACGAAGGAACTGACTGCGAAGAGGGAAGGTAAATCTGAGTGTGTTATTCTCAGCTTCAAGTGGAACATACTTCGGTGTCTGCGCATTTGGATCCGCATCAGACCGGGAAAGCCGAATATCTGGCATGTGGTTTCGTTAGACCGAGATGGCCACTAGCTGTCAGTATCAGAAAGTACGCACCAACTATGGCACCGTCACGACTGCGCTGATCGTCACCCACCACAACGAGGGTACAACATATGGCGTATTATTACCGGTTGGACAAGTACACACTTTTAACATACGCATGTCTATTAAGCTACCTCCAAATGTTGTATACCAGCCCGCTACACCTTGTAATCAGCGAATCCACGCTTCTCGTCAGCATAGAGGGGAACATTTCCAACCACGCTCATGCGCGGTAAGCCAGCCTGAGCCTGGCCTTTGAACGGATAGTAGTAAACAGCATCGACGTCGTTGGGTGCATTGATGTAGGCGGGGAGGTATGCATCCGGATGAAACACGGTGGTGAGGGAAAACGGGAGCATGATGGTCAAGACCTAACATTAGAAAAGCACACGCTGGTTAGAGCCTGTCGCCAAGTGGGCGATAACACGCACCGCTCTATTATTGTAAATACCGGGTATCCGGATTTTCCAATCTGGAGTGTTCTGGCCGTATTGGACGCGGTCGGTTTGAACCCACTGTTGAAGCAAAGCGTTTGCACGCTTGTGGCCCTGTATGAAGACAAAGTCAGTTTCCGGAATGTAAAAAAACCTTGCCAAAGACGTACAGTGTATTTCCAGATTATCAGAGGAGGAGAACGAGAGAGCCAACCGCCAGGAAAAGACCCATGCCAACAGCGGATGCTCCAGGATGCGGGAACATGCCATTATGCTCTGTGTTGTACAGTGCGGATAGAACAACCAACGGTACAGCAAACATTGCACTATAGAAACGGTGAGCCGCGCATTATAGTAATTGAACGCGAAACGTACAGTAATGATATGGCCAGCCAAATACGTTCGAATATCGGCTTCGAAAAGTTGGCCATCAGTGACTGGATGGCATTGATTCTTGCATTCCACGTATCGGCGGAGACCTGTGAGCTGATCTCGTAGGGCACTGCCGGGACTGGTTGTCCGGAGAAAGATACTGAGATGCCTTGAGACCGAGCGGCGAAAAAGAAATGCGCCACGCACGACAACAATTGAATTCTTCGTTCGTTCAGGAGAGTAATACATGACCGGACGTAAAGGAATGTGAGAGCGGGGGTATCGATCCAGTCGACGGGAGGAGGAAGAGGGAAAGGGAGGGAAGAGATGGAAGAATGGGAAGAGATGAAGATTAAGGTTGGCAACGGTGCTGCGAACAACCATCACGTCATCATAATTTGGGGTGTCTCTTTAGTCTACCCTTTGTTTCGTCCGTGAATAGACTACCCTGCTCTCAGTCGTCGTGGATCGTGACTCTCGGCTCGTCAATGACATTTTCTGGGGCGACGTCGACGGCCGACGGGCCGGACGTTGGAGGCGGTGGCGGTGGCCATCATCATTGTCATCTTCACTGTCCTCGCCTGGCCGACGAAACACCAGCTCTTTGCCATTCACTAAACGCCTTTTCTTGATGGGCAGATCAGCGCTAGCCTCGCCGTCACCCGCTTTCGGCTGAGTCTTTGACCGCTCTTTCTTCTTCTGCCGCTTTGCGCGATTCTTGGCAGTCTTGGCCTCCGTTACAGCCTCTGCCTCGCGTCGACGCCTCGCAAATTCTGCTTCGTCCGTTTCCTGGGTCGTGTTAGAACACATTCAAAGTAGCAGACACAAGACGCTACCTTTTGAACCTCGTCATCCAACATCTTCAATCGCTCGTATTCTCTCCGTCGTCCAGCCTTGTACACATGGAATTCACCGCTGCCTGCACCTGCACTGGACCCTTGTACGTTCTTCATCATATCCCGAGCCGCACGTATTGTCTTTTCCTTCGGTGGTGGCGGAATGAATGCTGCCTTGGCTGGATCCTTCAGCAACTTGTCCAGCTGCATGCGCTGCTTGTCAACCGCAGATGTAGCATGTCGTTTCGTGGTCTCTCCTGTCGTAGGTGGTGGTGTGGGTTGGCTCATCGTTGCAGAAAGCAAGTTCCTGATCGGGAAAGACATGTGGCTGTGCTGGGCGCCAAGTTCTCGGGAATTCGTCTGAACTTTAGTGATACTTGAGTGATACAGTTCTACATTCTGATATACAACAAGTAGAGATGGCATACAAATAGATACGGATAGATGATTTAAGGATGACTTGCAGCGGGCCAGACACCAAATGGCAAGGAGCGCGCTTCCATCCATTGTCGTGAGAGCGCCCCAAGTGCTCGCGAAACAATGAATCGTGAATCACGTTTCTGGGACTGCTCTATAGTATCAACCAACTCGCCACTTTTAGAGCCCATCACCTGCAAATGCAGCAATTGAATCTCCGAGCAATTCTCCAGGATCCTTTCAACAACGGACAGCACCATTCCAAGAGACTTGACATGAGTGATAGGGACGCTCAACGCGAGGTGCGTGAGCTCTGGAAGATGGTCGTTGGCACAATTCATATACGCCAGTGTGTCAAGGGAGAGTTGGACGTGAAGGTGTGTCGTTGTCATCGGAATCGCAGTGAAAGGAATCCCATCCCGACATGACATGCCGAGCAAATGCAGCTCACGCGCCGGCGACACGAGCTGTGAGCCAATGTGCTGTACAGAGAACCCGCAGGCGAGGCTCTGCACATTAGTGCAAGTTGACAGGATTCTGTGAATGCGATCCATGGGGCCCAACGCGAAGATGGCGAGGTTCTTCACGCGGCGATGTAGAGGAATAGAAGGTGTTAGGCGCTCTGGGCCCGTGTTTGTGTGTGAGAGCGTTTCACAAAATTTGGAGACGGCACGCGACGAGGAGAGGTGCACGGTGTGGTATAGGAGAGGGAGCGTCCACTGCCGGGTGTAACTCGAAACCAATGTCAAGCTAAGCGCGCTCTGGATATTAGAGCTTGCGGCAAAGCCGACGACCTCGCGGAGGATGTCAATGGGCATGTCTGGAAACGGACGAGTGTCTGTGGTCATGATGCTGTGGCGCAAAGTCAGAATGAAAGCCAAAGTTATCTCGCAATTGGCTGACCGTTATGAGGTAGTACACGGAGTGGGGTTCTATGCAGAGCGCACCGGAAGTTGCTTGAGAATATATACCTCGTCTGATGGGCGTCCGCTTAAAGCAATCTCCACACTGAAGTGGAGTAACGCCGTTTAAACTTCCAAGGGTGATTCCGGTGAAAGACAAAGCAAGGCGAGACCCTTTTGACGCCACATAGCATTGACGGCAGACCCCTGTAAAGAGGCCTCATCATCGTTGTGATCGGGCTTGACGAGGACACAGTTGTTTCTTCGGCTGCTGAACGGTGTTGTCCTAATGACGTCCAGGCACAACTGTCAATTGAAACTGCGTCATCTCATCCGATCACAACATCGCATACCTTCCTTTTTGGGACACTCACCTCGATTTCCTTGCCACTCGCGTCGTGTTACTTCAAAGACATTGACGCCCATCAGACGTATCATCAAACTGCGCTAGAGGAAACGGAAAGCTTCTCTGCCTGCTACATGCGATGTCGTTGAGTCGACCTTCATGTCTGCCACAGGCTGCATTCAAGGCAAACTTGAGCCGTACGACAGGAACTTTGAAAGTTGAGGAGTCACCTTTCGCCGCGGCTGCAGTAAACCTGAGTGACTCAATGGCTATGTGAATTGTGGTCTGTACACCTGCTGTATAAATATGTGCAAGAACTTCCTACAGTACAATGCATGTGTAGAAAGCACGAGTCGATCGATTCTCTTCTAAATTTTGCCTCACTTAATGAAGGGTCAGCCAGGCGCTGGTCTTCGCTCGACGCTTGCTTGAACTGAGTAACAATTTGAAGTTGCAAGCAGCAACTTGTTACTTGAAGTCTTCAGCTCACTTGCCAGTGAATCGTGCGCGCTCGCCACCACCTGGCATCCTCGGACCTCCAGGCTCCAGGCTCGCCGGCAGTAGGGTTGCCAGATACCGAATATCGCGCCGTTCGATATTTAACCAGTTAATAACGGTTAATAGCCGGGTTATCAACAGCCCGCCGAGGAGGTAAGTTTTGGGCAGTTATTAACCACTCATGATGCAGTCATGTGAGCAGGCTGGGCACGCGCGGCGCGGGATCAGTGAGGAGGAGGAGGGTGATTTGTAGGCAAGGGGGCCGGCAATGAGCTGCTGGACCATCAGTAGAACTCAAATTAGACCATTTAAGTTGAACCCACAAGAGAGGTTTTTGAGCGCCTGAAAAGAAAATTTTGCCTCAGACTCCGAGGACGACAGATCCTCAGCTAGACCGGGAAAAGTATAAATATAAATACGCCACATTGCATCATGTGGCGGTTATTTAATCATTTAAAAATCTAGCCCACCGCGAGGGTCGAACTCGCAGCCTTCAGATGTGAAAGGTTCGCACTGCCCTGCCTTAAAAGTCTGACGCTCTATCCGATTGAGCTAGGCGGGCGGTGTTGTTCCTTGCTTTCCATATCGCCACATAGCGTTTGCCTTTCTGATTTGAGTTCCTTCACGTCATGCAAACTCGAGGTTGCCTCGTGTTTGTTCTTACGCTCTTACTTTCACTGAAGCTATCTCCGATGTTCTACGCCGTGTCCCTCGCAGTTCTCAGTTTCCGAAGTAATACGAATGCAACGAAACATCAAAACTCGTGTCCTTTTTACAGCTGTAACGTCCAATTCGTGTACATGTCTCTTATCGATGGGGCGTTTACACGCCCTCACCTCGGGGCAAATGCTGTGTTCCTTCATCAGAAGTCGACTTCTTAGCCTCTACAGCACAACGTTAATATAAGACCCGAGGCTCTCTGACGGGTTTACCCCCTTACTGGCACTATGCTTCAACCTCTTCGCAACCTCGTCAAGGTTATTTACTTGGCGCCGTTCAACCTCACCGACCACTCGACATCTGCTGCGTTTCGAAGATCTGAATCGCACCGATGGCTGCACCATTCACGTGGGCCGCTGGTGGCCATTCCCACTCCCGACACAGTCATCATGGACTCAGGCTCCATCTCGTCGGATCATCCGACTGCTGAAGGCGGAGGAGACGAGGCTATAGAGATGGGGCCCATCGAGCATTCAAGTGACGTTACTGACCACAGCAGTGCCCGTGGCGGAGAAGAGATCCGTGTAGAAGATGTTCCTCAACCAGGACCCTCTCAGACTACGCAAGCAGACCATGACGACTCTCTCAGTATGGTTGGTCAAGAGGAATACAAGACAGATGGTGGCCTGTGGCGATTTGAGCAAATGGTTCCTAAAAGCGAGGATCGTTACAACAGGACCCGCCACATGTGAGCCAGGTTTCCTCTATTACGATGCCAGTTTATAGCTCACTTCTTTTCTGTAGAGGAGAAACGGCGCCGGATATCAAGTCCCTCACGCCACAGGCTTTTCAGAGAGATTTTAAATAGTATTATGTTTCTCATCCAGATACAATGCTTCTCTGACGCTTGTTTCTTAGTGATAATCTTCCGCCCGGCTGGGAACGGCGTGTTCATTCCGAAGGAAAGGTGTACTACCTGCACAAAGAAGATGTAAGTCCTCGCTATGCATCAGCAGTCGATTGGGCAGTCATAACAATTTCGTAGAGAATCATAACCGAAGACGAGATGCTGGACTTGCGAACTGCGACATTCATTGACAGAGACTTTCGTCGTATCCTCTCGCACACGGTTGAACGTAATGTCGACCAGATGCCCGAGGACTATCACGTTGTCGTTAGATTCGTAGATTTGGGCTATGATCCAGAGGACTCAAGAGACCCGACTGGTGCTAGATACGAACACTACGTTGCGGATCACGACAAATCCTTGATTTTCTGGCTCAATGTGCAGGAAGACTTTGAAATCGACATTTCACACTTCGCTCTTCGTGGTGAATTAAGTCCTAACCAGCATAAATGTAAGCCACCCTTCTCTTGTTTCACACGGATGACCAAAATCTTTATGTAGCCATCCTAGAATGGTATTACTAGTGAGAGCTAACTGATATTATGAATAGAGTCGCCTGATGCATCATCTTTAGCCAACATGTCTCGTACTTCCCAGATGCCCGCCGGCCAACTGATCGTGAATGGGACGAGCTTCAACTGACATTGGCCAATGCTCACATGGGTCCGTTTGCTTGACCTGTGCTCCGCGCCAATTCTAATCGCCATTTGACAGATCTGGTCACCTCACCGAAGTCTACGATCTATCTTTCTCCGGACAAGCTCGACGAGATGACAAAGATTGTCAAAACTGCTCGCCGTACTTCGTTTGTTTTAGGTACGCGCTGACTAAATTACCTTGACGCCTATTTGACGCCGCCTTGCAGGACGCATTAAAGAGTCTCTGCGTCAGTACGTTTCGGATCCTATTCACCCTCGCTCATGCTTCTTTTCAGTCTATGGGCAAATCATCAATTATCACGGAGAGCCTTGTGCGAGACTGAACATTTGTGATTCCGTCTACGAGAAAACCACCGAGAGGACACCATCTTTCCTGTTCAAGATCCTGTCGCCGATTTTGCTGTACGCACCAGATGCGCACCTGAAATCACTCGATAAAATATGGGTAGATAAAATCACAGCCCCGAAAGTATGGAACGCTTTAGTGGAGAAGCTCAACGCCGAGTGGAATACATACATGCTCATTGTGAGTGCCTCCATGAGCATTAGAGGTCACTGACATATAGTCATCAATCATAGGCCACGGTATTTCTGACCACCAATGTAGCCTTCCTTGCGATTCCTGTTGTCGATGACACATTGAAGATCCATCCACTAAAGTCCCCATCGCACATATTTAGTTTTCTCTCGACTCTGGCCAACCTATGCGGCATCATAATGGGGCTCATTCTAATGCGTCACCACCGGACCAAGACGCTTAATGCAGTGGTGGGTACAACAAGATTCACTGCGACTAGGCTTGGAGACTAACGATTCCGACTAGGATGCCTTCCTCCATCGCATGTATGGCTCCAATTCCGGTTTCGAAAACTTGGCCATCCTGTACAGCTTTCCGTATGCTTTGCTGATGTGGGGGTGAGCCGGCTTTGACCTCTCCGAATAAGTCGTACGCTGACACGAATTGTACAGCGTTCTATTCTTCACGGCTGCCTTTGTGACCATGTGCTTTGAAGCCGATGTGCCGTGGATGCGAATTGCTATGGGGCTCCCCGTGGCCATCTTCCTCTTCGTCGTCTTGTGGTGTATCACGAAGCTGTGGGAATCCGACACCTGGTCGTCGCAGGCCGTAGACGTCTTCCTGAACATGCTGGGGTGGTTTTCCAAGTCCGAGGAAAACACAAAAAAGGCGCTGTGGCTGCGAGTGAGAGATGGATTCAACAGGGTATTCCGTACCAATCGTGTACGTGGAGATGAAGAGAGTGGTAGTACTGCGGTGAATCAGAGTTGAGAGACCAAGAAATGTTTTGCTGTTCTCCTATGTTGTATGTATATCAGTGTACCATTAGAACTGCGCATGTATTATGTTTATGGTCGTTATATGGGTATCGATTCAAGTTCTTTCAAAGTCCAATACTTCTTCATGTTTTCGCCTTGCAGATCAGCGACCTGTGGATTGGACTTTATCAAGACAAGGAGGCTCTTGTGGAACGCCAGACCTTACCTCTTGATCCAAGTGCGTGAACAGAACATCTTTGAAGCCATCGAGGCACGCTCTCATCTCCTCTGGCGAGTACGTGGATGGATCCTGTTTCCACTTGTGCAAGAGCTTCGCGAGGGATTCGAGCCCTGTTTTCAGCCGCGTCAGATAAGCGTACAAGCAACGCCAACGCCGACGCACCATCGTGGATACCCTGGTGCGACTTGAGATGTTCATGGTCGGCAGCAAAGGAGGGCATCCTCTTTCCCAAAACCGGAAATATGTGCCTCTCTTCGATCGTGTGGTGCGAGGTCAAGTCTGTTCAGTATGAGGTGGGTTCTGAGTGACAAGAAAGCGCGGCGGTAAACGTACGGTGCTCGAATTGGCGAGCGCTATGGAGGTACAGGGTGAGGTTCATCCCGCGATTGTTGAACGAGCCATCGGCAAGCTACGCATCGCGTCAATTACGGCTCTGAACGATACATCAAAACGGACGTACCTCATGCAGATTATTGACTGTAGATGTGTTGAGAAAAGGATGCGGGAGGCATGTAACAAAGACATACATTCTTGTTTGAACCATTCGTGGAACGTGCTCATTCGCTCACTCAACTTCAAGTCGTAAATTAGCACTTGAATGTCAAGATCAGAACTTGGGACGTTACACGGTTCCATTTCCGCTCCTCATAGGATGTCATTGTAACGAGAGTTCGATACGAGTATTTGGCACTTCGAAGGGCGGTCCATACGAGCATCTACTCCTTTTATTCACCTCCAGCAGGCTTTGTAAATGGTCATGAGCGCCTGTCAACAGAAATGACACAAGCGTGATGGCTGTGTTGGACAGGCACGCCATTGACGATAGCACGATTAGCAAACTGCTGTCAGCATGAGTAACGACTTTGACAGTACAAGGTAAGCTAAGGAGTTGGCTATTCGTCCTCAAATCACGTACTCTCTAGTTCTAGCGCGGCGGTGAGCAACTAAGAGGACGAAAAGATTTACATCACGTACGCTCAAAGTTGTCAGCAAGGTCAGACAACGCTCTGAAAGACCCATCCTCTTCCACTGATATTCCGAGGGCCGTCCTTGCCGAATGCACCGACATCGAACTTGATCTGCGTTTTCGTCCTTGCCAGCATTCGCGTTCCCAAACAACGTGAACCTGGTGAACGTAGGCTTCTTGTTCTTCTGAATCTTCAGACGACGTAGCAATCGAGTGATCGGACTTGGGGTTGAGCGTTATCTAATCGCGCCTTCCTCCAACCATCATGAGTGAATACTGGGTCTCCAAGAAAAAGTACTTTTGCAAGTACTGCGATATCTACATCACTGACGATGCGCCTTCACGACAGCAACACGAGAATAGCCTGGGCCACAAAGGCAATAGGGACCGTTTCATCCGCGGTCTCTACAAGGAAGGTGAGCGCCGCAAGAAGGACCAGGAGGAGGAGAAACGAGAAATGGCCAGAGTAGAGCTCGTATGTGGCCATATTTTCTTATTTTGACTGCTTCTCACCGTGCAAAAAGGCAGCCCAAGCGGCGTTCGCACAGGATGTCGGCTCTGGGAGAGCACGCCCTTCCATGAACAGTGTTGCATCGTCGTCGTCCTCAGAGTCCAGTAAACCCAGGCCCCCGTCTTCCCACCCTTTTGCCAACTACTCTACGGCTGCGTCTCTAGGCTTCACTGATCCTGACGCGGAGAGGATAGCCGCTCTCGCTCAGCAGAAACAGTCAGAAGGCGTTATATCATGCGCCTGGGAAGTCGTAGAGACAGCACCTCCAACTGTAGAGGAGCCCACCGCAGATGCGGCTTTGGGCAAGCGTCCAGCAGACGAGCAGGAGGATGCTGCGCGCGA